ATGTAACATTTACATGATATGTTTGAATTGAATGACTTGGAGAAAAAATAAAAATAAATAAAATCTTATTCTCTTCTTTGGGTTGTTATTATTAAAGAGAAAATGGGACAAATGAAAATAAATTAAAATTAATGAATTTACCTTGAAACTCGCTTTTTTAATCTCTCTAAAACTAGAGAGATTTTGAGAGAAAATAAATGAGATGATTATAATATCAGAATTGTTCATCTAGGTATTACAGAAATAAAAAGATAAAAAATTATTTTGATAATATAATATAATTTTATTTTATGTAATATATCCAAATAAGATTAGAGATAAATTATTAAATTTTCTCCTTAACCAAATAAGGAAATAAATCAAAATCATTTTATTTTATTTTATTTTCTCTCATAACTTAACAAATCATTCTTTTTCCATTTTTCTCTTATATATCTAAACGTAGTGTTTTAGCTGAAGACATTAGTGTATCCCAGACAATCCCTTATTGAGAGCATCTCTAATGTTTTGTCATTGGAGTTGCCATTGCTATAATTTGGCAATTAGAGATGAAAAATGATGCTTCAATAGTGCCATCTGGTATCTGTCAAATATGGCAAATGTCAAAGTTTGTGCCAAATTTGACGCAAGTTTTGACAACTGCCATATGTGTCAATTCAACCAAAACCTCCCTCCCTCAATTTTTTGTTCATATTTTAGACGATTTCAGCAACAGTAATATGTAGACATCCCATTTTGATTGATCCTAAGACTTGAGCGCTTTCTTTTAATCACCCAATAATGAAAATCAAAATGTGTTTCTTACAAAATTCTCAATAAGAGAAATGAAATTTGAGCTTTGTTCTCTACCTTAAGCTTATTTTGGTCAAGTATTTGAGCCCCATTGGACATCCAGAGCGAAGTTGGACCAAATCGAAGCGAAACTAGGCTGAGCGAGCAAAATCAGGCGAATTTATCTCTGACTAGTTGATCGCTCAATCATTCGTCCGATCAGAGACAGATTGCCCAATTTTGTGTTGGTTCGAGTGGGGCACTTCCCAAACCTATTTTTCTGGCCCATTCATGCATTTAATGCATGTATACTCACCCTTCATTGCCTAGTGTTTGATACATTGAAGCTAATACTCCACTTTTATCTTTCATTAGTGCTCCATTATCTTCATTAATGCTTCATTCTTGTCTTCCACCATTTTTTCACTTGCATTGCCTATATATTGAGAGGAGGAAGAGAATAGATTGAGTATAAAAGGCTAGAGATAGAGAAGAAGAGAGTTTAAGTTTTGAATTCAAGAGTTAGCCAAAATTATATGTTAGTTGTGAACTTCAATTTTCTCAAACTATACACCATATCTCATCTCCTATTACAAAAGTCATCCAAGTCATGTTATTATAGTTAAACTCTAGAGTTTTGATCAAAGAGAGGGTAGTCTTTGCCAAGTTGAAGAACCGAGCACTCATTTCCTACACTTGCTCAAAGTCGCCGTTCTAGCTCATATTCTGAATTTTTTGAATTGAGGATTAAGAACACAATTCATAACCTTGAGGGTGATCAAGAGAAAGTTTAGAAATCAAAAAGTTCAATCTTCCTTTGGAAGGTAAATTTTAAATCCTTTCATTTTCTTTACATATTCTATCTTGTGTTTGTTTTCTTACTTTCATTTCATATTATTTTGTTGTAATTTAACCGCAAGTAATTAGTTTTTAATTCTTCATTTTCTTGCACTTTCTATCCTATATTTGTTTTTTTGTTTTAGTTTAATTAATTTTATTGTAATCTAACTGGAAGTGGTTAGTTGAGCCATATGCATATTCCTTATTTGTTCATTTTCTCGGCTTTGCAACAAAACAGGTTTCGCTAGGCCTAGTTGGCCGGCTAGTCGGTTAGCTTATTTTGAAGAAAATGGAGTAGCCTTCCGACGTTGAGCGTACTAGTTTTCGGCAATACTCAAGATACATGAAACTTCTATTTTTTTTATTTTATTTGAATGTTTTGTGAGGTTTTTATTTTGTTGTAATATTTTTCTACTCCCTCTCTAATTTGATTTGTAATCATTCTTTTAAGTGTTGTAATAATTTCTCACCCCACTTCTTTCTATTCCATTCTTTTACTTGCTTCCTTATTTGTGCGTAAGCATCATATTTTATTTTTGTTTTTTTTTCTCATCAAATCCATGCTTTACATCCATGTTTCATGCATCTTGATTCGCCTAATTTTGCATTTGTGGATTTAATCAATTCTTATATGATTATATGCGCTACCTCATGTTCTTGAGATGATTCACATGTCATATATTAGAAGCCGAATCTTTAGTTGCATCTCGTGAGTAAATTGCATTAGGATTTTGTATAGAAGATCATGCATATGTTGCTAACTTTGTTTTGTAGCTGTTCGCGGAACGTCGGTAAATATATAAGTTTTTATGTTTTAGCATCCTGTTTATGTGTGTTTTTCTTACTATGTTTAAGCATCCTACCATGAGACTATTTGCTTACTTGATATAACTGTATGCATGTTAGCAGATGAAGGTTGTGTCGCTTAATTTTGAATGATGTTGATTTTTATGTTTGTAAATTCAATTTGTTTGAGTTGTACATCTTCAAAACTCTTTCAAAACACATAAAATCAAGTTATTCCAAAATGAGTGGCATAGTTTATACTTGTATATTTTACATAGTAAATTGTAGGATTTATTTAATACCTGAAATATGAATATATAAAGAAAATAAAACTCATACCATGGTTTAGTAAAGGTTAATCTTTTGATCGAGTGAGCGGGGGTACTCAATTAATAACCTTCCCCTCTCATATCTAAGGTTTCGAGCCAAACATCTTTGGTTATGACAAATAGTGGCCTTGGCACGAGTCGTGGGTTTCCTAATTTTTTGAAAAATATTAGATGGCGACTCTAAGATCTGGTGATATAGTCAATTTTTGGCAATGGTTTTGCAATAAAATGAATTTTCTATAAAAGTTGTCAAATCTGGACTTTCATCTATGTTTCACATTGCATTCGTGAGATTAGATCAAAGAAATCGAGAGCCCGAACTATTTAACTCGCACGAGTATCCCTCGGACATGTTACATAATGCTACGCACACAGAGGACTAAATACAGAACTAAACACAAGACGATCAGCTAGACGACTGGAAGACTCTATAAAGTTGGTTGAGATTTGCCAAAATGGCATTTGACCATTAGAGCACCATCACTATAATTTGACAATTTGTTACTATTCATTGCCAAATTATAACAATGGCAATGCTATTATAGCATTTGCCATTAAAGATGCTCAAAGTGTCCTATTCAATAGCTGTTGAGTAATTTTTTGGATAAATTTACATTGATCTCTCTTAAGATTTGAAAAAAATACAACATGTCATATAGTTTTTACATTAGGCTCCCATAAAATTATAATTCATATAATACGTACTCTATTTTTTCATTAATAATTCACTAGTTATATGGACAAAAAAATAATAATATTATCATTTATTTTACATTAAAAATTTTATTTTTCATTATTTATCTTGTGCCCTCATAATATCTGTATTAATTTTGACTCATTTAACTCTATTAAAATGACAGTCCGTGCCATAATGTCAAAACCCTAAAATTTATTGAATTTTACCAAATTTCAAGAAATGTCAATTTAATTTATCATAATTTCATTCCCCATTCATTCATCAAAAAGTCACTCAATAATTAAATCATCTAAAATTTTAAATATAATATAAAGTACACAATTTAAAGGTTTTTGCCACTTTTATTTTATTTATTTATCTATCTATCTATCTCTTTTCTATCTATACCATTATCAAGTAAATGTCTAAATTAGTTTAGTTCTTATGCCACGTGATAACTTTGCATATGTTAAAATAAAAAAATTATTATACACAGTGTAAAATAAGTTTTGAATTCAAGACCTTAGATTTTATTAAGAACATACTTATCACTTGCATAATATACATATTACGATATTAAATTTTTTATTATTAGTTATCTGAACACTCTAGTATTTTCTATAGTATCCATAAAATTGATGACCTTTTTTGGTCAAGCTTCTAAAAAAGATAAAAAAATTAGTTACTGAAATATGTAAAAAAAAATTAAAAACATTTTCATTTAGTTTAGTTTTAGAATCATAATTTGAGTGTAGAGTTATGGTTTGAAAGATAAGTTTTTAAAATTATTTTCACTTTTGAGTTGCATTTTCGTATGATTATTATTTTTTTTTATGGTTAAAAATAATTTTAAAAGTTTTGAAATATATATTTTTTGTATTTACTTTTTACAAAATTAATTTTCAAAAAATAAAATTTTAAAACTCTCCAATCATAGTAAAAAAAAGAGATTGGACCGTCTTCCTTCCATAATCAGATTGGATAGTTTAGTCTGGCCGGCTCACATTTGAGTCTCATTTGAATAATTTGAATCGTTCATATTTTAAGATTCATCGAATACATTATTTCTGTAAAAAATCAAATCAATCAAATAACAGAAATTATTATGTGTTCGAATCAATTTTGTATGAATTATTTATTTTATTATAATTTATTTTTTATACAAAATTGATCAAAACTCATAAATATTATTATTTGATCAACTTAATATTTTACGATGATAATATTGAGTCTCATTTGAATAATTTGAATCGTTCATATTTTAAGATTCATTGAATACATTATTTCTGCAAAAAATCAAATCAATCAAATAACAGAAATTATTATGTGTTCGAATCAATTTTGTATGAATTATTTATTTTATTATAATTTATTTTTTATACAAAATTGATCAAAACTCATAAATATTATTATTTGATCAACTTAATATTTTACGATGATAATATACTTAACTTAATATTTTACGATAATAATATACTTAATAAATTTTAAAATATAAACAATTTAAATTATTAAAACGTAGCCTAAAAATAAACCCCGATAACCCCTCTCCAATCAATGAAGTACTGGAGAGAAGCATAATCTCAAAAGGAAAAGGAAAAAACACTCCTCAAACAAATATCAGGATTAGCTTTTTGGGCCCACGGCGGCTAATAACTGGTGTCAGTCGGCGAGATCCATAAATATCAAAACCAGCCCCTTTATCCGTTTGTCAGTAAAACCCTAACGCTTCCAAAACCCTAAACCGGACATATATCCATTGGTGAAATACAAGGTGAAGCTCTCAATCACAACTCTCTCTCAGCACAACAATATCTCCCAGGTAGTCCATACATATAAATACATATATATTGATATGTCCAGTTAGGGGTTTAATGCTGTTGTTGGATTAGTATTGTACAATTGCTGATTTTCATCTCCAAACCCTGTTATCCTACAATTTTTCCTGTTAATTTGTTGGGATTTTCATTTATATGTGTTTCCTTCGCTCGCAGATCCTGTAATTCTGACTTCCATCTTCGTTCTGTTCCTTTTCTTCTCATCATCATGGCAACTAGTAAGTTATTCACACTACTCAATATGTATAGATGTATTATTGATTGAAGTTGCTAAATTTCAAATTTTTGCTTTGTATTAAATGGGAATGTTTATTGTATTGTTTATGCTTGCCTGAATTGAACATGGGTTTTGTACAGGAATTCAATTTGAGAACTCATGTGATATTGGGGTGTTCTCCAAGCTGACCAATGCGTACTGTTTGGTTGCTATTGGGGGTTCAGAAAATTTCTACAGGTTTGTTTGTTTATTGGGATTTGGTGTGTGGGTTTTTTAACGCTCTTTGTTGTTTTTTCTTTATTAAATTTTTTTCTAGTGGAGCTGGTGGCGGTTATGGAGTGGTGTTAGTGGAGGAGGGCATAGTGGTTCTAGAGGGGGAGGAGGAGGGGGTAGTCTAGGATAATAGCTTTCACCACCGTCACCACCTACGATTATTTCTAAAGCTTCTCTGGCCATCCCAGTGGGGATCACATCAGTTCCTGGCTCCAGCTACATGCTGGTGGTGCAAACATGTAAAAAAGATAAATTCTAGGAAACATGTAAAACTTGATAACAGGAAGGCAATGGTAAAAAAATAGATGTTTCCCATCTGTGTGTGTACATATATGGTAATATAAATGAATATAGATAGATCACCCACAATAGCTGTGGAAATAATTTATGATGTGAATGTCATAGAAAGAGTCCCAAGCAAACAGATGATATATATATACATAATGCTAAGAATGTTTTGTTTGGGGCGAGATATTGGCTCTCTCATTTTTAGAATGCCCAATTTTTAAGCCATACTTGTGGTGGTGGAGTGGTGTCAGTGGCGGTGGAGGGCTGGCGGCAGATGTGTGGTGGTGGTGGTGGTGGTGGTGGAGGTAGTGGAGGTGGAGTTGTGACAGTGGCGGTAGTAGTGTGGTAGAGAAGGTGGTATCCATTTAAATGGGTTTCAGAGTACCCATGTCCAACCCATTTATACTTGATTATAATTGGGTTTGTAATGTGCAACCCATTTAAACCCGTTTATGAATTTAGATAGGTTTTAAATGGGTTTAATTGGGAGGGTTTACAGTTTTGGTTTGAGTTTGCCATCCATAGTTTTGTCTCTGGCTTACAAAAGACATTAACACTTCAATCGCTGGATGGTGTGCAGTACGTTTGAGGCTGAGTTAGCAGATGCCATACCTGTTGTTAAAACCTCCATTGGTGGCACACGGATAATTGGACGGCTCTGTATTGGTAAAGACTTTAAGTCTCTTATAATCTCATGGAAGAAGCACTCTTTTGAGGTGCCATAAGCTTTATTCTAACCATCACAATATAATCATTTGATTGTTATTTTAGGAAACAAAAATGGGCTTCTCTTGCCTCATACCACAACCGACCAAGGTATTGCTGCAGCCTTTCGTTCTTATTCAAAAGAAAAAATGTGTGTCTTGTATTTGTTCCACATCAAGGGGTTGCTTGGAAAGTGTTAAATTGGTATGCTCTTTGACTTTTTACGAAAAAACATGAAATATGGGTTGTGTTTGAAGTGATATGATAGAGAGGTGATGTGACTTAAATAAGATGATTGTGACCTAAATAGGATAATGTGCTAAAATAACATGTGCTATTTGAACACATGCCAAACAACCACCAAGTATGAGACTTTTCGGTGAGGGGTAGATAATGTCCTCTACCTCCCTAACTTTTGGGGTGTGTGGTGGGTTTGACCCTTGTGTTACTCTTGTTAGATGTTGGGTATTCTTGCATTTCCTTCTCTCAAAAATAAAAAGCTAATGCTGCAACGAACATTATGTTATTTTAAGTAGGATTCTGTTTTTATGTTTTCTTTCATAACTCGGTATCCGGCCCAATGGACTGACTAATCTGGGAGACCAATCCCACTGTCCACTACCAGGGGGACCCAATTAAATCTGGGGCAAGGGCCCATATGGGCTGACCCTAAGGAATTGTTTGCACCTAAGACCACGGAGGGAGCACCTGGCTCTCCAAGCTTGACCATCAGGCAAACCCCTTGGGGTTTGATTATGTTTTTATAAAAAAAATAACGCCTAAATAGTGCACATTATGTTTTGATTATGTTTTTATGTTGCTCTTAATTATCACGATAGTTCTTGTGGTTCTTAATCTTTTTGACTCGCATTTGATTGCCATTTTTTTTTTCTGGACCATTGGATCTCACATTCCTATTATTTTTTCTTATTGAAGAACTTCAACACCTGAGAAACAGTCTGCCAGATCAGGTTGTTGTTCAGCGCATTGAAGAGAGGCTATCTGCTCTTGGGAATTGCATAGCATGCAATGATTATGTTGCTCTAACACATACTGATCTTGACAAGGTAAAGTTGCCTGTTTCTTTGGGACAAATGTATTTTTGGAAATTGAATTTCAATTGCTAATCAATTTGGATAAGATATTGGTTTTTACCTGTTGGTGGATGAATCCTTTTTCCCCCCCCTTATCTTTGTCCTTTTTCTCTGCTAAAGTTTTATTCCTGCTACCAGAATAATGTTAGTGGTTGAAGATGTCTATTATGTGTGGTCATGCTCTATTCGACTTTACCAAATGCAACATTTAAAGCTTTCTATCCATATTGAACTTTTAAGGAAGGATGTGGTATGATGAAAAATGTCGTGGGTATGAGATGGTTTACTTTTGCATATTTCTTTTTTGGGTGGGGTGGGGGAAGTAACTTCAAACAGCAATAAATTTTCATTGAGAGTCTGTGTGGCATTCATCGTTGTGGTGAACATAGTTATGCTGGACTGCAGGCATGAATTGAGGGTTGAAGGGACATACACTGAGCGGATTGTTCACCAGTTTTGCTTCATGGTCGTAAGACTGCCTTGTTAATCTTGGTTGACAGTCAAGTCACAAACCACTTCACAAGGTGAGATGGTCGGCGGCTACTTAAGGGTGAGAGAGAGAGAGAGAGAGAGAGAGAGGTTTGCACTTCTCATCTAACAACCGTACAGATATAATAAATAGTATATTATAAACATACATAATATATGAATTCAGGCACACGTTGCTTGTTTCCTTTGCTTATCTCTCTCTCTAACACACACACGTGTGTTTTTATAGCATAATCTAGATGATTTGTAACTTAAAAACCAATGTAAATTGGGGTGTACCTTTTACAACTTCTACATTATGTCAAAGAATTTCCATTCAATGTTGAAAATATGAAAGAATAAAATTGCAAGATCACCATTTACCACTACCATCTTCATGAAATTTAGGTAGATGTTTGCATCAGGGGCAGTGGATGACACATATTTTGTAATTTGTATGATTAAAAACCTATTTTAGGTGTTTTTTTTATTCAGTATGCTCTCTTTTAGGTATATATTTATTCAACATGCTCATGTACTGGTTTTCTATGCTGACTTCCAGGAAACAGAGGAGATGATTGCAGATGTTCTTGGGGTAGAAGTTTTTAGGCAGACAATTGCTGGTAATACTCTTGTGGGCAGCTTCTGTGCCTTCTCCAATAAAGGTGGCCTGGTAAGAAATGATATCCTCTAGCGGAGCCTATCTTAAACAAGCATTAAGTGATGAAAAATTTATTGTTTTATTGTCCTCTTTACGATGAAAAACTGATGTTGGAGCAGGTCCATCCTCATACGTCCATTGAAGACTTGGATGAACTTTCAACCCTCCTTCAGGTCCCTTTGGTGGCAGGGACTGTGAACCGTGGTAGTGAAGTGATCGCTGCTGGCTTGACTGTAAATGACTGGACAGCATTCTGTGGATCAGACACTACAGCAACAGAATTGTCCGTTATTGAGAGCGTCTTCAAGTTGAGAGAAGCACAACCTACTGCCATTGTTGATGAGATGAGGAAATCATTGATCGACAGCTATGTTTGAGTCATTGATTCTTGGTCATATTATAATTCAATGTATCAACAGCATTGGCCTTGTTTCATAGAGCTGCAACACTTGCCCTTAAATTGTTGATGATGTGTTTTTTATTAGTTTATTTTGGCATGAGAAATGAGTATTGAAGTGCTCATTTCTTTTGCTATATCACAACTTATATTGCCTAAGTATTTATTATTATGAATCTTTTTTATACCGAGGGGGTTGTCAGTTCTGAAATGGGTGTTCCTGTCTTTATTTCTGATATTGATAGTTGTATATTGCCGTTTGATGATATCTTTAGCTGTTGTTTAGATCATGGATTTGGAAAGGAATTTGAAATTGGAAATGCAAAAGGTTTTCCTTTCTAAAATCCCTACTCAAAATTTATGATTCAAGCACAACCTTATGGTGTTGTCAGTTAAGATGCAAGTTTGAGCAACTGTTATGTTTCAGAACAGTCTGGATATGGAAAGTATCAGGTGGACAGATTGCCCCAAACACATGACAAACAGAAAATGGTCTGTCAAGAAACAAAAAATTTGCTACAGAATACAACTAGTCTTTGTTTCTCCAAATTTTTGGCATTTTCATCTTGTTGGAAATCAAATATGACTCAGTCCAACCTAGACTCAGAAACTGCCTATGTGTTTTGTGTAAAGCAGGGGATCCTGTCCCAAATCAATTCTCACCACCCGATCAGATTAGAGATATACATCCTAGTGATTTGAAACAGGAGGGCAGAGAAGGATCCCAATAGATGATCCAATCTTGTTTGCGTAGGGGTGTGATCTTAGTGTGTTACGTGTCTGCCTACTTTTTCTTTGGGCTAATCTTAACCTGTACTTTCGGCAATTTGAAATCTGGTATTTTAGGGTTGCATTGGGAGAAAAAATTTAACAGGCACCATGTTTGAATGACGCTGCTAATCATACACCCTCACCGATTGAAATGAGTTTTATCAATCTCAAATGGAATTGGGAGCGTTTGAGAATGGTTTCTTAAGCAGTAAACGGAATCCTCCACTGTCATATCTTACATTTTACATGTATATACGGTTTCAAAACAGCTTTAGTATTTCTAGAGAATCTAATGCAAGCCTTCGTCTTCTTCATGAAAAAATATGAGTAACAAAGTTATCAAGGCTCAGTAACGGATGCTTACTAAATGATACCTACAAACGCATATAACAGTTTACTGTTTCCTCGTTGGCAATACAAGTTTACCAACTGCCCAAATAATCACAACACGAGCCATATCGCAATCACTGCAGAACATTAAAAACTATGGCTATGTTTGTTTGGGCGGACTGGATTAGCATTCCTATGACTAATAGTCCTAAGACTATGAATCCGTTGGATTATGTATCCTATCTTAACTAATAGTCAAGTTTAAAATAATTAGTCCGTATTTCAATTGTTTAACCAAATATCGGATTAATAATTTTATTGGACTATTAGTCCAATCCCAAGTTCATGTCCACTCAAACAAACATGGCCTTAGTGTGTTACGTGTCACCTACTTTTTCTTTGGGCTAATTTTAACCTGTACTTTCAGCAATTTGAAATCTGGTATTTCAGGGTTGCATTGGGAGAAAAAATTTAACAGGCACCATGTTTGAATGACGCTGCTAATCATACACCCTCACCGATTGAAATGAGTTTTATCAATCTCAAATGGAATTGGGAGCGTTTGAGAATGGTTTCTTAAGCAGTAAATGGAATCCTCCACTGTCATATCTTACATTTTACATGTATATACGGTTTCAAAACAGCTTTAGTAATTCTATAAAATCTAATGCAAGCCTTCGTCTTCTTCATGAAAAAATATAAGTAACAAAGTTATCAAGGCTCAGTAACAGATGCCTACTAAATGATACCTACAAACGCATATAACAGTTTACTGTTTCCTCGTTGGCAATATAAGTTTACCAACAGCCCAAATAATCACAACACGAGCCATATCGCAATCGCTGCAGAACATTAAAAACTATATGTATTATACACATTGCAGGATAAAAGAATGCAGTCTTGGAAACAGGTTTATCAGTGTAGAAGTTAGTTCTCGCAATAGCTTGCTCACAAGAAAGAGTTGGATTAGTCCAATACTAATAACAAAATTTGCTGGCTGCTGCACATACACTCAAAAAAAAAAAAAATTCAGCGAATCTGCAGCCACAAGATCCTCCACCATAGCCAAGCTGTGGCATATTTTGGCCTTCTGAAAGTTCTGTCGATCTCCATTTGTTTCAATGAGCTTAAGATGTTCTAGTTTCTTCTATATCAGTGCGAACATCTCCACTAGTTGGCCTGGAAGATTTACATGCAAAATCAAGCTATTTTAGAGTGGCAGACAGAGAAGTGAAATATAAAATTTTGATAATGCATATAAGGTATATATGTTTTTATTTTTATTTTTATTTTTCCAACTCTATGGTCCAAAGAACTGAGAAAGTTGAAGAGGTTCCAGATGACACTGCGATTTACTTTATGCACCCACAAACATATTACTTAGCATGCAGTGTAACCTCAATGGAAAAATAACCTAAAGTAGCAGTGTTCAATTCAGTCAATGGTTGGCGGGTGTACCTTAGCTTATACATACGGAGGAAAGGAAAAATAACATAAGGCTTTGTGCTTGCTTGGCTGCTGTTCTTTGGCTTATTATTACTACCATCACACAATTTCCATTCCTATTTCTATTGGCTGTGACATAATGGTTCCAAACTCCTAAAGTTTCCATTTTGCAATGAAAATGTCTATAAGTTGAGTATTAAATGATTTTGGACACAGGTTCAATTCAGTTTTTAGTTGTTTCTATACTCTAATTTGAACCTTAGGCCTCATTTGGCAAGTGTCCCTTTTAGCCAAAAAGTCAAAAAGTTACTAAAAAAAACTAAAAAGCCAACAACCCATACAAAAAAGTCAAAGATTCTATTTTCTTTTACTTTTTGCACATCTTTTCGTAAAAAGCCCAAAAGTCATTCCAAACATACTAGTTTTTTTTTACATCACATTTTAGCTAAAAAGCCAAAAAGTTACTAAAAAAGCCTGTTCCCAAACGAGACCTTAATCCAAATATTATCTCCATTAAAAACAGGTTAAAATATCAGTCCACTTTATCATAAGTATTTACTACTCATCTGAATCTTCTACTGGTTTTCTTGTAATTAAAACAAAGTTATTGTGTATATATAGGGAGTTCATAGGATATAATCCCTAACGTCAGGGAGACCACAAGGGTGGTGGCTCAGCATGTTGGATATAAATTAATTAGACAGAATATAAAAACAACTTATGAAAACAAGTCAAGGTAAAATGCACTTACAATCCACTTAACACCTTAATGGAATCATAGAACAACCATTGCAATGTCACTACAGGTCCAACAAGCATTATCCTGATTGGAAGACTTCTTGTAAATAGGTTGATAAACCCAATTTTCTTCACAGCCTGAATGGGAAAAACAGTAAAGTTAAATTTGAACCAAGTAGGCCGATGTGTAAAAACGAATGAATATTGTAATCAAGAGATGTATACCAGCTTGAGGCTATTAGCTTTTTTGTTATACAGAGAGGCAACGATGTTGTCGGCAGGATTAGAAATAATACTACCAACAGATCCAGCAGCATAGCCAGCTAAACACGTCACTCCAAGCTGTTGAGCTCTTGAGCAATCTTCCTTCCTTCTTTGAAGTACATTACGGTACAGAAAATTTACAGAATGCTCAAACGTTGAAAACATAACCATAGAGACTGCCCAAGAGAAATTTGAGTGTGAATAAAAAAAGTAACCATGGACGAACCAAAAAAAAAAAGAAGGGTAAATAAAAATAATAATTTATGCTTCCTAGTTGCACACAAAACAACCAGAAGACTAAGATTACTTGGCTGAGCATATCATTCAAGCCTGTCTAGTCAGTATTTATATGTAAAGAAAAAATCGAAGAGTGAAAATTGCCCAAATAGCTTTGCATTATGATCAAGGTAACCAAATGAGTGGAATTGATGGTGTGATTCAAGCTTCTAGTTAGCCTATATTTTCAATGGTTTGGTTGCTCTAAATCTACAAACTATGATAGGAAGTTATATGGAGCAGCTGGTTAGAAGATGATAACAATGAACAAACTGGCTATGCACCATCCTAGGTCCAAGAGGACAACCTCATTATCTCCGTGACTCACAACACATGTAGAATCGTAGATAGCCTTGCCAAAATTAATCATAACAGAAATCAGAAAAGTGCAAGGTAAGTATGCAATTACATGGAAGGTTACGACCCCAAAGTGGAACTAGGCCCTTGTAAAAACTGCAATCAAAATTAAGATACAAAACCATTTAATAAGAGAGGAATATCACATAATGAAACAATATTAAAATGAACAAAATCAGAGCATTCAGATTATGTACCCACGGAGGCCTTCTGTCGCATATAGCTTCGGAACGCCATCAATTAAGCCCTTTGCGAAGTGGGGCTGTGCTTGAACACGTACTTTGATGGCCTCAAAAGGACAAAGAGCCACATTGGCAATCACTTCTGCAGATGCACTACTAACAAAAAAGATGAAACTCCTGTTCTGGTCTACCAGGACATTGGAGTAAACCTTCTTGAAGTATTCATACAGCCCAAATCTACAGGCACCCTGAATGCCATATCCAAAGAACTTGCCACCCCTACCTCTCCAAAAGGCAGAAGGGCCTTGTTCCCTCAATAGAGTTGTAAAGCATGTGGAAATGCTATTATACTTAACAGGGTTCACCTACAAATTATATAATTAATTTATTAAGTTAAATTGTTAAAACAATAGATTATGCATTTAAAAGAATTAGTTAGCAAAAAGAAAAGTTGGTTTGTCTAGAGCTCTGTTACCAGAATCTTACGATTCACAAATCGATTCGTCGTTTTTGCAAAATCGATATGAATCTATGAGTGAATCTATTTTGAAAGTGAATCGCACAATTCACAATCGATTCATGATTCGAGTCACTTTTTACGATTCATGCAATTCTTAAAACTATCTTGTCTTAACATATTTTTGACTTTTTTCCTCCATCTTTTTAGTGAAAATAACATAATACAACTTCTAATAGCGTTTAATACCAAAATAACCAATATATACATGATTTATTGTTATTTTAGTGATCATGGAGTTTTTAATAGGATCCAATCAGATTCAGACCTAACATATTTTTAACATTTCTTCTCATTTTTCTTCTTTTAAATAATCATAATATATCTTCTAAAGATGTTTAAGATTAAAGTAATTTACCTCATGAATTACTATTGCTATTTTATTAAATTACATATAGTTGAATATTATATGAGTGAGGTTAGTTATACCTTTTTAAATGTTTTAGACTTTAAAATAAAAGATCCTAAATATATATATATTTTTTATTATTATTTGGTCCTTGTTATGTGTGATTATTGTCCAAATATCAATATCATTGTTAAATTATTATTACTTAGAAAATTGAGAGTTTTACTTTGTTTATTGTCTTTATTAAAAATGATTGATAAGAAAAAGAAAAACGTAAGATGGTGATATTACAAAGAAACTTTTGTTAATTTCTTACCTATTAAACTACGTGATCATCATTCAAAACCGTATTTTTATTGATTTAAGTCTAAATATTTCATATTCATAAGATATATTTAACATCCAAGTATATACATATAATTTTTCAAGTAATTTAGAAAAGTGACCGAATCTTTACGATTCACAATTCAATTCGATTCACGATTCGGTACGAGGCCATTTTGATTCACGATTCGAATCCCGATTTGACAATTATGGCCTAGAGAGAAACAGACCAGCCCTCGGATCATTTTCAATTTGAGAGGTATATTACATAGTAGACAACAATTGGAGCCCCCACATCAATAATGTGGGTTTGTGACTTTGTGTTGCAGAACTGGGAATTTGCTTCAGTATCATTTAAGAGGCTATAACTAGAAGACTACTCACAGGGAGTTAGCTGCACCCACAAATCATACAAACACTACTGTTGCTTTGCCTTTACTCACATCGGTGGCATATTTCTAAGGCTGGTCTCTTAGCAAAGGAAGAATTGGGTTATTTCAGGATATTCATTCAATGTACTCCAATGCATTTACCCATTAACATCTTAGAAGATTTCACAAAATCTTGTATCACTTAGCCTTTGACTTTTAAGGTATATATTAGCTGATGAATTAGTAGTTGTTGTTCTAGTTTCTTTAGTATCTTCAGTCAAGAATGAAGTCATGTTGTGGCCCAAGGGTGATGCGTCAGCCCCCTCAAAACTATATAAGAGATATTACCAACAATAAAGTTGTATGGCTCAACCAAAAATGAAAAAAAGAATGAAGTAGTATGACCCAACAAAATGGACAAAGCAGTAATGCTTGCATTATATTTAAAAATAAGATCAAATTGAATACCTCTCACTAACTCCACATTTATAATATGGTAGATTTGTGAAGAGCCATTCCTCAGATTTGTATTACTTGGTTTAGTTTTAGGGTACTGAATTCCACATTTTCTATTGTGTATTAAGACTAGTGTAGTCAATTACTTTGAAGTGTGATTCCTATTATGCCTTATAACTCAAACCTTTATTTCATTTTGAAGTGAATAATCAAATTCTAATACTGACAAAGACAGATGAGATGAACTACGTACACTTAAAACTAAAAAATAATCCAAATGCAAAAAAGAAATCTCAAAAAAATAAATAAATAAATAAATAAATTAACAAGGTCACCTCACCACCAGACATTGAAAATGAAAAACCCTTCAAAGATATGATCTCAAAAACTCCAAACACACAAACATGGTTTAATTATATATATATATACACATAGAGAGAGAGAGAGAGAGAGAGAGAGAGAGAGAGAGGAGTAGGTACCTGCATATGAACTTTGAGAACATCGAGGGGAGTGATAGCGAGATGGGTGGTTCCAGCACTGAGCATTCCTCCAAGGGCGCAAATGCCATAATACCCGGCTGTGAATTCCTCGCAGATCCTTCCTCCTTCGAATAGGGGCTTCATATTCATTCTTCTTTATTTCTTTCTTTCTTTCTTCCTTCAACCCATCTCCAAGAAAAGCCCCATTTATTTTCTCAGCATCCAAACAACCCTTTCCTTTCTTTCCTTTTGAAAAGAGAATTTTTTCTGCAGAATCCAATTTCTTCGGAACACAGGGAGAGCTCAAGTGGGCTTCTTGTTGCTTTGGACGGCGTCGTACTATGTGTTTTCTGGCCAAACGACAGAGTTTGTACAGGATTGAATAATTGAATTAATTTCTTTTTTTTATTTTAAAAAAATTTAAAATTAATTTGGTGAATTAAATAAAAAAATTAAAATATTCGCTTTTTTTTTTTTTTTGTATATTTTTTAAAGGTGAAAATATTTTTTGTATTTGTTATCTTCAAACTAGTTTTAAGTTTTTGAAAATAACTAAACAAAATTTGAAAATGAAATCCAAGGAGAAGGGGATAAATGTAAAATGGGTCGGGTCAAAGCCTTGGGCCGGCCCAATCCACTGAAGTCCAAATCCAAGTGGGTTAGATGAGTATATGGGCAAACTAATTGAGCTTAACTTCATGATCAAAAGTCCACCCAAGTCCTTAAGCACTTGGGCCCAACCCGCAATGGAAAGGCTAGTCCAGCCGTGGTGCTGGGTTGGGCCGAGCTGTAAGACTGAACCTATGGGCTGAACAAAAAATAGGCCGAGCCTATACAAAGATATCCGAATAGGATCAGCCCATCTCCATGAATGATCTTGTAAAAGGCCAAGACAAGGCATAATGATGTCGAGCTGAGACACATCGGTACTGAGCTGAGGAAACCCTGCAAGAAAACATAGAAGTTGTGAATATGTGCATGTGCAAGTTGCTACCTCAGCTGGTCCCCTACACCTAGAATCACAGAAGTTGCTGAATCAAAGGAATATGGTTTGTTATCAGCATGACTACAATGAGTATATGCATTCAATGATAACTACTAGGTGGTCCCCCATCTTGAGCAATGGTAAAAGGACACCTAGCAGCATCCAAGCTCCATGAACCCACCTTGAGAAGCAAACAAGGAACACTATATATACAACATGAACTTCACATTGAAGGCAACTGAACTATTCCAAGAAAAATCATATATAGAGGGAGATTCAATTCTACATACACGTCTTCTCCGATCACTGATTCCCACACCAGAGGGGTTATCCAGCCAACCCCGGCCGGACAGCTCTAACGGTGCTTCTTTTGGCAGGAATCCCAGTCCCCGGATAGTCCAACCAAGTGCAGGGCCCTGATCCACTTTCATCTAGTGCGGAATCCGGTATGCACAATTGATGCGGTGAACGTGGATCACTTCATCTCTAAGCTCTGCACTCAGTTCCAGCGATGGGGATTAAGGACATTCCGCCTTCGACACATACTCCACAGACGGAGAAGACGAAGGACAAAGGTTTGGCACTCCCAACAGTCCCGGAGGAACAAACTGGAAACAATAATCAAACCCCTGAATCCGTCAAACATCGATTACCCTTCGCTGGAGGTTCTTCTCATCATTTTCTTCTAGAAAAGGATTATAAAGATTGAATCATAGACTCCATGGGGATGGAGATACAGGTGCTGAAAGCCCAACTTAAAAGGGTGCTAGGTGATCCGACGGAAAAAAGGACGGAAGTAGAACCCTCTCGCCTGCAACGAAGGAGCTCATCCAGAGAGCCACCAGTGAAAAAATTTCCCAGAAATGAGTCTGGGCAACGAAGCCAGCCTATCCCGGTATAGAGTGAAGCGGCAAGCAGCCACACCCGTGGGTCACGCCAGAGAAGGGCTAAGAGGCATAAGACAGTCAATCAGTAAACTGAGTACCCCCCACAAGACCTTCGTACTTGGTTAATCGGCAACAAGCAGAACGAACAACATCGGGATCATCTAGACCGTACTGTCCACCAGAGAGAACACCGAGCGCTGGATAGGTTCGTCTCCTCACCATTCTCCCCGGAAATTGAGGCCATGAGACCTCCAAAGAAATTCATCCCACCAAAGTTCACTTCATACGATGGGAAGTCAGACCTGCTGACACATATTAGCCATTACAGACAAATGATGTCTCTATGGAGCTGAGATGAAGCATTGATGTGCAAAGTCTTCCCATCCAGCTTGGGAGAGATCGAACTTCGATGGTTCGATCGACTCCCCGCTGGATCGATTCGTAGCTGGAAGCAACTCTCCGAAGAGTTCCTAGCCAAGTTCGTCTCCAACACTAAGATTCCGAAAGAGCAGGATACACTGTTCGGCCTTCGAAAGGAGCAGGAGGAAACGCTACGCCATTATGCTAGGAGGTACTGGGAAGAGTACAATGACCTAGAGGAAAATGTGTGCAGTGAGCAGATGGCCGTTATGTCCTTCAAACATGGTCTGCGCCCGAAAAGTAAGCTGAGACAATCACTTACCAAGCGCCCGACCACAGCTTTGAAAGATTTGCGTGCCAGGATCGAGCAGTACGCTCGCCTCGAAGACGATCAGATCCCCATTGAGGTAGCGTCAGCAGAACAGACAGCTTGGCACAAGAAAAGAACAGATCGAGGAAAACACAGAGGGATCGCAGTGAATGAAGTAGATAAGTCCAAATCCCACGAAGCCGTCGTGACTGTATTCAAATAGCCAATCTATTGAATCCTGGAAAAGATCAAGAGAGAGCCCTTCTTTGTTTGCCCGCTGAAAATGTTGGGAGATCCAGCTCGGCGCAATCAAAAGCTCAGATGCACCTACCACCAAGACAGGGGGCACCTACCACCAAGACAGGGCACTGAAGCAACACTTGGAAGACCTAGTGGTAGCTGGACACCTAAGGGATTACATTGATCAGGATAAGGAAGTGACCGAACCGGGGAACCCACTACCAGAACCAAATATTGAGCATCCACCTCGACTGATACTAAATGTGATAGACGGGACAGCGACTAAGGAGCCTGAGGAGACACTGAGAGAAGAGATTGCTAAGGCTATGCAAATCCAACAAGTCATGTCAGTGGGGCCCGCATCGAAAAAGGTACGCGCGGTATCCAAATCCCCCTTATGCACTGTTTCATTTACTAGAAAGGATTTAGAGGGCATACAGCACCCACATACTGATGCACTGATTATAACTGTGGGAATTGGAAAACGATTTGATGTAAAACGAGTCTTGGTAGATCAAGGTAGTGCAGCAGATATATTGTATTATGATTTGTTCAGAAAGCTTGGTCTCTCCGAGCAGCACCTCACCCCAGCGGTAGCCCCGTTGGTCGGTTTCAATTCATAACCAGAATGGCCGCTTGGCAGAATAGTGTTGCCAGTTGTGGCAGGAACAAAAACCCTCCAAATAGAGTTCTTGGTAATTAATATACCATCCCCTTACAACGCCATACTTGGCCGTTCATGGATTCATCAAATAGAGGCAGTCCCTTCAACCTACCACCAACTCATCTGTTTCCTAACTGAACATGTAGTAGAGCAGATCTCAGGGGATCAAGTTGCGTCCAAACATTGCTTCATGGCAGCATTAAAGGCAAAGCAGCTCTGCAATCGGGTACAGATGGTAGAAGTGGCCGAATAGCCAGTCTTGGAAGATGTAGGGGGAACTCCAGAGGAAAAAAATAGTAGAGGATTTGGAGAGAGTCCTGGTAAAAGAGGATGACCCAGAAAAGTGCTTCCTTATCGGTACCTCGCTAGGCGCTGATAAAAAACTTTAGCTACTGGAACTGCTGAGGGAAAAATATGGAGGTATTCGCATGGTCAGCATATGATACTCCAGGGTTGGACCCAGAATTTTCTTGCCACAAGCTCAACATCAACCCTTCAGCTCGGCCCATTGTGCAAAAAAGTGTTAGAGATCCTCGGTCGAGCACACCAAAGCAGTAATTGCCGAAGTCGAAAAACTCCTGGCTTCAGGAGCAATCAGGGAAGTTCAGTACCCGCAATGGCTATCCAACACAGTTGTAGTCAAGAAGAAGAATGGAAAATAGAGAGTTTGCGTTGACTTCACTTGCTTGAACAAAGCCTGCCCTAAAGATAGCTTTCCTCTGCCTCGCATTGATCAACTAGTAGACTCAACAGCAGGGCATGAGCGTATGAGCTTTCTGGATACTTATAGCAGTTATCGTTAGATACCATCAAGAAAAGACAGCATTTATCACTCCGAGAGGAACTTACTGCTACAGAGTGATGCTGTTCGGCCTCAAGAACGCCGAGACGACCTATCAACGGATGGTCACTCGGATGTTCAAGGACCAACTGGGAAAAACCATGGAAGCTTATATAGATGATATGGTAGTCAAGAGCAAGTTCACTACAGACCATCTTACAGACTTGAGAAAGTTTTTGGCATCTTAAAAAACCATCAGCTTTGCCTCAATGCCTCGAAATGTGCTTTCGGGGTAGGAACAGGGAAGTTCTTAGGACATATGGTCACTCACAGAAGAATTGAGGCAAATCCAGACCAAATAAAAGCAATACAAGATCTAGAAGTACCAACAAAGGCTAAGGAGTTGCAGAAACTGGCCAAAATGGCGGCCGCACTGAATCGGTTTATCAGCAAATCTTCAGATCAGATAAAGCCTTTCTTCCAGCTTTTGAGGAAAAGGGCAGCATTTGAATGGAGTTCCGAATGCACCGAATCACTGCAAAGTCTCAAAAAATACCTCAGTACACCTCCCCTTCTGTCCACTTCAGAGCCAGGAGAGGAGCTGTACCTCTATCTAGCAGTCTCAGATCATGCCGTAAGTGCAGTATTAATTCGAGAGGTTAACAAGGAACAGAGGCTTGTATACTACGTTAGCAAGACTTTACTAGATGCTGAGACACGGTATCTACTGTTGAAAAAGTTAGCTTACGCGCTGCTTATCGTCTCGAGGAAGTTCCAATATTACTTTCAGGGGCATACCATCAATGTCCTCACTGAATTCCCCCTCAGATCTGTATTTAGGCGAGCCGATTTCTCTGGCAGAACAGCAAAATGGGCTGTAAAACTTGGCGAGTTTGACATTCAGTATCAACCTAGGACAGTAATCAAGGCTCAGGTTTTGGCAGATTTCGTCGCAGAATTTGCTCCCACCCAGAGTACCGAACTAGGGAACCCAAGTTCGGCACAGGTGCCACGCATCACCAAACAAGGAAAGCCCTGCGCTTCAGAAGCCTGGAAACTCTTCATCGGAAACATCTGGTAGCTCTATGTTGACGGGTCGTCCAATAACCGAGGTTCAGGGGCAGGAGTAGTACTTATCTCACCAAAAGGATTTATCTGGGAACAGGCTCTCAGTCTCGGTTGGAAGGCTTCGAACAACGAGGCAGAGTACGAAGCGTTGTTAGCTGGCTTATGCAGTGCCGAACACTTCAGTGCAGAACAGCTTCTTGTTTTCAGCGATTCACAGTTAGTGGTAAACCAGCTTTTTGGGGTCTACGAAACACGGGATGAAAGAATGGCCATGTACGCAGGCAAGGCCAAAGACTTACTCAAAAAGTTTCAATCCATACGAGTGAAACGAATTAGTCGGGACAAAAACGGTCATGCTGACGCTTTGGCTTGTCTCGGCTCATCAGTGGATACCAAAGATGCCAGAAAAGTTTGGGTTGAGTTCGTGCCAGAGCCAAGCATTGCATCTCCAGTCCTCTGCAGCAGCGTAGAGCTGAGCTGGATAGATCCAATACTTGCTTTTCTAAAATCTGGTACTCTTTTCGAAGACAAAAAGGAGGCCAACAAAGTCAGACACAAGTCAGCTTGGTTTTGGATCTCACAATCCGGGAAGATGTACAGACGCTCCTATCTTGGCCCTTATCTTCTATGTGTGCATCCAAATCTGCTTGAGAATGTTCTCTACGAAATTCACGATGGGATTTATGGATGCCACGTTGGCGGAAGGTTGCTGGCGCACTGAGCCCTCACTCACGGGTATTGGTGGCCACGGATGCAACAAGATGCTCAGCAGTACGTACAAAAGTGTGATAAATGTTAGAGGTTTGCTCCATTCATTCATCAGCCAACCAAAACTCTCACTCTACTCACCAGCCCTTGGCTCTTTGCGCAATGGGGTCTGGATATTGTCGGATCATTGGCGCGAGGCACTGGGAACAGACGATTCTTTATTGCTGCAACCGACTATTTCACTAAATGGGTTGAAGTCGAGGCACTGGCAAGCATCAAAGAAGCGGACACAAAGCGGTTCGTCATGAGGAACGTCATGGTTCGTTTCGGCATTCCGCGGGTACTGATTGCGGATAATGGAACACAGTTCGATGGTAAGGTCTTTAGAAAGTTTTGTGCTGACCTCAGAATCGAGTATAGGAACTCTTCTCCAGGGTACCCGCAAAGCAATGGACAGGCGAAAGCCTCAAACAAAACCATCATCAACGGAGTAAAGAAACGGCTTGAGCATACCAAAGGAAAATGGGTTGAAGAGTTAACCCACGTGTTATGGGCATACCGAACCACAGCACGGCGATCAACGGGGAAAACACCTTACTCACTAACTTATGGAATGGAGGCTGTCATCCCACTCGAAGTCGGCCTCCCAACCCTTCGGTCTGAATTGTTTGAGAGCACCAGTAACGAGGAAGCTATTGCACAAGCACTAGATATGACAGAGGGTCGAAGAGAAGCAGCACTGATCAGACTTGTAGCGTATCAGCAGCAGCTCATCAAGAGTTTCAACTAAAAAGTTTTCCCAAGGCAATTTATACCAGGAGAACTGGTCATGAGGAAAGTTATGGATCACAAAAGGGTGCCTGGCGAGGGCAAACTTGGGCCTAACTGGGAAGATCCGTACAAAGTCATAGTCGTTGTTGAAAATGGAGCTTACTACCTAGAGGATCTGAATGGCAGAGCTATACCTCGGCCTTGGAACGTAGCAAATCTCAAGAAATACTATCAATAGAATTGTCCCCCAACTTCTCTATCAGAATGTAAAGGCATTTATCTGTTGACCAATATAAATGTTTCCCCACTTCTCTCAAATTTATCAAATTCTTTTAATTAGCTTTGATGTTTATCAAACGGAATTAGCTTTGGTTCGGACCAAACGGAATTAGCTTTGATGTTTATCAAACGGAATTAGCTTTGGTTCTAACCAAACGGAATTAGCTTTGATGTTTATCAAATGGAATTAGCTTTGGTCCTCACCAAATGGAATTAGCTTTGATGTTTATCAAACAGAATTAGCTTTGGTCCTCACCAAATGGAATTAGCTTTGATGTTTATCAAACGAAATTAGCTTTGGTCTTAACCCAAATGGACTTAGTTTCAGAACGACTGGACGAAATTTAAATTTGGTTAGCACTCAAACATGCTAAGTGGAATTGCTTGGTGGAATAATGTTTGGCAACTAAATTGGACTTTAGCCAAGTGGAATAGCTTGGTGGAAACCACACTAACATATCTTAAGTAAACGTCTTTGATTCCACAGAATTCCTTAAATAACAACACGCCAATACTTCAGTACTGATTCAAATAAACAGAGTTAAAACAAACGTGACCAGGCTTTGTCTGGAGCAAACTCCCAGCATTAGTCTTACTCAACTCCAGGTGAGGGCAAACAATTGTTCTTTCAAACCAACTTGGACCTGAGTAAGACACCTCTTCATGCCTTTATCTCATTCAAATGCATCTGCACTATCAAAGTTACAACAGACTTTAGCAATTCTATCTAAAAGCACAATCTTCAGTACCAATCTTACTTAGCTCCAAGTGGGGGCAAACAACTGTTTTCTTTTAAAACCAACCTAGACCTAAGTAAGATCCACTTACAAACTCAAGCACAGCTATACCACACATCCGTTAACCACACTGAGCATCAGTTCGGCCCCGAGGTCCCAACAGTGCTCGGCTGGGGTCAAACAGTATAAAGCCACTCCGAGCATCAGTTCAGCCCTGAGGCCCCAACAATGCTCGGTCGGGGGCAAGTAGTACAGAATCAGACAGAGCATCTATTTAAAAGCAGTACAGAACCAGACCGAGCATCTATTCGGCCCCGAGGTCCCAATAGTGCTCGACCGGGGGCAGGCAGTATAGAAAACATACAGACATAAAAGCCAAACAGCATCAGATTGCAAGTTCAAAGAGAAAATTCTATCATCCAACAAAAGGCACAGATGGCCTCATAACCAACAGCAAAGAAAAGAAAAGAGAAAAGAAAAATTGTCTTGGCAAGTGCAGAAAGAAAGCTCATCATAGAGACCGAGCCACAATACATCAAAACAAAAAAGTAAAAAAGTTAAATCCTTTCAACATCAACTTTCATTAACAGAGGGAAACTCAGGAGCAGCATCAACAATTTTGTCCAGGCCGTCTGGGGGGGGAAAAGTAGAGGCAGCTCCAACTTCCTAAGAAGTAGAAGCCTCCTTAACCACATCTCCCGCGGCTTCGGTCTCCAGGGTTTCAATCCCTTCAACATCCACTGTTTCAGCGGCAACATTACTGTCCTGGGTCTTGTTTGCAGAATCAGCTTCTAGGGAAACTTCGGCTGGAAGAACAGCATGGGTGGAAACAGTCTTCGAACCCAAGGATCTTGAAGGAACGGGGACATCCTGAAATAGGGAAGAGCCTTCAGGAACCAACACAGCAGCCAAAGCACTCGTCCAACCCTTTAGAAAAAGCTTATCTCGCAGCACTAGCACCTCTTCCTTATAGGCGGCCCCAGCTTCATCCCAACCCTGTTGCCAGTGTTTGGCTTCCAGCGTAGAACGCTCGGCAGCCATCACGACAATAACGGCCTCCAGTTCGGCCACCTTCCCCTCGAGTTGAGCCTGTGTCCCAATAGCAGCCTCCTTTGATTTTTCAGCTGAAGCGACAATCTTGTTCAAACGAAATACTTCCCTCTCCGCGGTTCGACGCCCTTCCTTCTCTGTCTCCAAGCTTACCGTCAATCTCTCAGCGTTCATTGCGACCTCCAGCACAGCCCTTTCTAGCTCTTCAGCATGGGTAATGGATAGATGCATTCTCTGGATACATTGCAAAAGACAATGAAGAATTAAGAGAAAATGAGACAGCAATGCAATAATAAAAACAAGCAAAACGAGGAAACACTTACAGCAGTCATCATCTGAAGGGTCCCCTTCAGAATAAGAATATCACGGGGCCCATTATGGTCAGCCATGTCAACCGGCATCAACAAAAACTTAGTCAAATCAAAGGCAAAATCTCATGAAGCGACAACTGAATCAGAAGTGGAAATGGGCCTGCCCTCATGCGACATTGGCGGCTCTCATTTCTCAAAAGCCTTATCCTCAACAGGATCCTCAGAAGCTTTCTCCACCACTGCTTTGCCATCCTCTCTTCTTCTCTTTTTTGCTCGCGCAGCGACTGAAGTTGAGGGCTCGGCAGCAGTCGCAGGGGTCCCAGA